ATATGATAGAATTCCACTAGGGGTGATTTTTTTTTCCCTAGTTGAGACCAAGCTGTCATTATTTTCATGTAATGAGACTACATAAAATAACAGATGGATTGATGCACTTGTTTTTCCTCTTGCAGAACTCCTGGCCCAGGATATGAATCATCCTTTTGTTCAGTGTATCTTAGCTGTATGCTCTACCCACATGTTAGTCATTTAGTAGCAGTCTTGGTTATCAGTTTGATTCTCATGGTATCACAATGCTTATGTTTGAGTATCCCTTACTTTACTTAAAGATGACCCCAAAATACGAGAGTAGTGATGTTGGTAATCTCATTACAGTATAATACTAAAATTGTTCTATTTTATTACAAATTATTGTTAGTTTTTACTTTGCCTAATTATGAAGTAAACTTTATCACAGGTATATATGTATAGGAAAAATAGGGTTTGGTACTATCCTCAGTTTCAGATATCTCCTGGATTTCTTGGATTGTATTATCCTGTGGATAAGGAGAGAGTACTGGATTTCTTTGAATACTTTGTTTAGCTCTACTTTTTTTTCTTTTCTGACTGACATAAATGTTAGATTATAGTTATAGAGGTCTCCAAGGATGTGTTTTTTTAAAAAAATATTTTTCATTGTATGGACACAATACCTTTATTTTATTTATTTATTCTTATGTGGTGCTGAGGATTGAACTCAGTGCCTCACTCATGCTAGGCAAGTGCTCTACCACTGAGCTACAGCCCTAGCCCTATTTTTTAAATATATTTTCTTTCTGTTGTTTGATTATTTTCTTCTGTTGCATTTTCAAATTCACTGATTCCTTCCTCTTTCCTTTTTGTTCAGCTCTTAAGTCTATTTATTTATATTTTACTTCTTGTACTTTTGAGTTCTGAAATTTCTGCTTGGTTCTTTTTTATATCTTCTATTTCTTTGCTGAAGCCTTCAGTTTCATTTCTTTCAAAATGTGTTGTAATTGCTCATTAAAATATTTTTATGATGGATGCTTTAAAATACTTGTAAGATAATCCTAACATTTCAGCGTTGACAATTGTTGTTTGCCTTCTCTCATATAGGTTGAGATTTTACTAGGAAACTAGCTTTGACCTTGCGGTCTGATTAAGAAGCTCCACTTCCAGGAATCCAAGGTCTTATTCTAGACCAGCGTTAAACAGAGCTTGAGGCTTTTTTTTTTTTTTTTAATTTATTTGCTAGCTAAAGAACAGTTTAGTTTTATAAGGGACCATACTATTTATTTATTTATTTATTTATTATTTTTTAGAGAGAGTGAGAAGAGAGAGAGAGAATTTTTTTAAATATTTATTTTCTAGTTCTCGGCGGACACAACATCTTTGTTGGTATGTGGTGCTGAGGATCGAACCCGGGCCGCACGCACTCCAGGCGAGCGAGCTACCAGTTGAGCCACATCCCCAGCCCTCTGCTCACATTTAAAATATCTAAATACATTTGTTATCAGAATGTTTCTTGTACGTATCCTTATTTCATGATTGCATTTTTTCATTACTAAATGGCAAAGGTTTTTTTTTTTTTTCCAGGTTTTCTTCTCTCTGTGGTCTATTCCTGTACTTTTTACATCCACTTTCTTATCATTATATTTGCCTAGAATCTTGGTAGTTGGCTATTGTTCATACAAAGAACACAGTACCAAAAATGCATTGGAAAATTTGAACACAGAGGTGGGGC